TTTAATTTTTGGGTGAACTATCCCTTTAAGAACTTTATAATATTTGTAAATGGAAAACACCTCATTTAAAAGTGTCTCTAAATTACAGAGACACTTATTTTTATCTTTAATCAGGCTCTTACTGAATTAACATTTTACTTAAATTAAAATTAATTAGAATGAAACATTTAAAGAGAAATAAGCTATTAAAGTTTGTTTACACTGCAGTTTGTTTACATGCATTTTACCTTGTCGTGGCTGTTTTCAGGCAGAACCTTTAATGTTGGCACATCACACAACTGTATAACACAATTCTGTGTCATTTCTGAATGGATCGAGCGATTTGCGATGTTTATCTCTTATAAATCGTGGCGGAAGTGCAGCGCTGTGCAGGAGACTGATCCCGTTCTGCTTTAACATGTGGCTGGCGGATGCACCGGGTAGCACCGCTTCACACTTTTGGAGTACTTGCTTTTTGCAGTTTCGTCTAAATTACAGAGACACTTATTTTTATCTTTAATCAGGCTCTTACTGAATTAACATTTTACTTAAATTAAAATTAATTAGAATGAAACATTTAAAGAGAAATAAGCTATTAAAGTTTGTTTACACTGCAGTTTGTTTACATGCATTTTACCTTGTCGTGGCTGTTTTCAGGCAGAACCTTTAATGTTGGCACATCACACAACTGTATAACACAATTCTGTGTCATTTCTGAATGGATCGAGCGATTTGCGATGTTTATCTCTTATAAATCGTGGCGGAAGTGCAGCGCTGTGCAGGAGACTGATCCCGTTCTGCTTTAACATGTGGCTGGCGGATGCACCGGGTAGCACCGCTTCACACTTTTGGAGTACTTGCTTTTTGCAGTTTCGCATGGGCTGTAATTTAAAAACAGTGCCTAATATAAGGTCTCCCACGGGTCGGCGATCGGCCCACCGGGAATGTCCAGGTGCTCCCAGTGGCCAGTAGCTACATCGCTAGGTATGTTCAAGTAAGCTAGAAATGCCCAGATGCTGCGCAGTTTGGCTTATTTAATATATCATGATGAGTCTCGAGTTCAGTATTTACAGTAAATCTGTGCAGATTTGGCTTACACGAACTTCCTCAAGAAAGCACTATATAAAATAAACTCATTATTATTATTATTAAATAATCCATATAATATATATAAAATATAAACATAAAAAATATATAATATAATATTTTTTATATTATAATTAATGTATATATAAATATGTAATTTTTAAATAATATTCGAATGTAATGTACAAATTATTTTATTACTGTTACTTTAATTTATTGTCAACAACACATTATAACAAAACCAATATACTAAAAGCACTTAACACAGCTCTCAAAAAAACAATACAATACAATAGACTCAACATTTCACTTAGCATGCACATATACATTCCTACATGTACATATGTTAATGTAATATATATATATATATATTGCATTTTTTTTAAATAACAAATTAATATAATTTTTAGCAGTGAATTTTTCTTTTATATATTTTTTGTCATAAAAAAATGACATTTCAGGCTTAGCAAAATGGCATTGCTGTAACATAATAAACTTACTGCTAGAAATAAAGGCTTTAAATTTGATGCATATTTACGAGTTATCGGCTCACGCCACTAAAATAAAACAGCATGAGTTTATAGTACTGTGTATGTCATTCAACATGTATCACCCAACATCCCCGTTTTCTCACACGGTCTAAATGTAATTTGTTCTGCAAGGGTGGTCGTTTCCTTTATCACTTTATTCCCGCAGCCCCCTGTATGGTGTGACGGATGAGAGGTTAAGACGCTCTCCTTACCTTGCCGACTCTACGTGTCACTTTCAGGACCCATTACGTGTGACAAACTGGAACATTTTGCTTGCCGGCACTCATTGACTTTTATGCAATGCCGGCTGTTTGCTTTCTCTATTCCCAGTCCGGATTGAATTTCACCTTTCTGGGGCCAAGACTCATGCGAGCACAAAGTGTTTTGTATGAAGTGTTTAGTACTGAGTCATGACATTTTAACCATGCACCCCCGCCTTGTTATCCACAGGTTCGAAACACAGTCAACAGAATCAAAGAAAGAAGAAAAGCCTTAAATTTCTCCGTAAGTTCTTGCATGTTTGCATGTTTTCTCAACTACTGGAGGCCTCTACTCTTTATATCGTACAAATTTCATAACGCAGTGCATGTTTTGCCCCTGGTCCCATTTCACACACCCACTCAGGCCACCTCAATCCAGCCAATGTCAAGCAGCAGCCCTGGGTTACATGTTTCTAATCCTGTGGAAGCTCGTCCCTTCACATTAAACTGTCAAGCCAGTATTTATACGCGAGGCTGCTGTTGACGGAGATCACTTAGCTTCACCAAAGCGGTTTAAAAGTAGTTAATAGACACCCACCCCCCCCTTCAGCGAAGCACCTCACCTCCAGCGGTTCCTCTATGAATGGCCACATTAACTCTCCTCCGGGCTTGTCACGGTTTATGGCCTACGGCAGTTTGTCCCGCTCGGCCTTTGCCGCGCCACCAGGTCATTGAGAATGGAATGAGACGATTTCTAAAGGTGGATTGATTTTAGAATATGGCCCCCTCCCTCTTCCCTTTGACCCCCCTGACAGGCCCGACACTGTTAAGACTGAGACTTGTAAAAAACGACTGCGGCCCCAAACGCGAGTGCCAGGTAGCAGCTGATAAATCGTGGCAGGTCGTATTAGCAGTGGGACCCTTGAGCGCTCTCTGGGCAATTTTCCAATTTTCGAAGTCCACACGATGAGATTCGCTGGCCACGTGTGGCGGATGGTTTTTTAGCTAATGCCATTTTGCACCATAAATCTAGAGGTGATATACTGTATCTCGCCGAATAGCTTCGGTGCAGAACGGGGTCCAGAATGGGATAGGAAAAGGTACTCTTCTTTATTGGATGAGAGCAGTGGTCAGGGAATGTACTGACTTCCAATATAGTATTGATAACGTACAGGACGTGCTGTAGATGGATGGGTTTTTGCCTGAGGGAAACCCTTAAGATTTTCGAACTCATCGTAGAGTAAACTGATGTTTATTTTTGTAACTGTCTACCCAGCCGAGACCACCATAGCAACCACTTAGAATGCTCTAGCAGCCGCCCATAGAGCACCTTACACTGGCCTAGCAACAGCCTAGTAACCACGCTGAGCACTCTAGCAACACTGTGACAAGGCAGCCACCTACTGTATGTTGTTCTGTCTGTTTGTCATTCTGTTTGTCTGTTGTTCTGTCTGTCTGCTTGCTTGTCTGTTGCCATTCTGTCTGTCTGCATGTCTGTCGTGTTTTGTCAGTTTGTCATTCTGTTTGTCAGTTTTCCTGTTTGTTGTTTTGTCTGTCTGTCTGCTTGTCTGTTGGTCAGTATGTTGTTTGTCTATCTGTCTGCTTGTCCGTTGTTTTGTCTGTCAGTCTGCTTGTCTGCTGTTCTGTCTGTCTGCTTGTCTGGCTGGCTGCTGTTCTGTCTGTTTGCCATTCTGTCTGCTTGCTTGTCTGTTTTGTCTGTCTGTCTGCTTGTCTGATGGTCTGTCTGTTTGCCGTTCTGTCTGTCTGCTTGTCTGTTGTTTTGTCCCTCTGTCTGCTTGTCTGTTGGTCTGTCAGTTGTTTTGTCTGTCTGCTGTTCTGTCTGTTTTCCGTTCTGTCTGTCTGCTTGTCTGTTGGTCTGTCTGTTTGCCATTCTGTCTGTCTGCTTGTCTGTTGTTTTGACTGTCTGTCTGCTTGTCTGTTGTTTTGTCTGTCTGTTTGCTTGTCTGCTGTTCTGTCTGTTTTCCGTTCTGTCTGCTTGTCTGTTGTTTTGTCTGTCTGTATGCTTGTCTGCTGTTCTGTCTGTTTGCCGTTCTGTCTGTCTGCTTGTCTGTTGTTTTGACTGTCTGTCTGCTTGTCTGTTGTTTTGTCTGTCTGCTTGCCTGTTGTTTTGTCTGTCTGTCTGTCTGCTTTTCTGTCTGTCTACTTGTCTGTTGCTCTGTCTTTGCCATTCTGTCTGCCTATCTTAATCGATCTATCTCAGTTAATCCGTCTATCGTTCTGTCTGTCTGTGCTTCTGCCTATGTATCTATCAATGAGTCTGTCTCAACAAATGTAGTCTTTTTTCTCTCTCTGAATTCATATTTTTTAAGCTAGTGGTAAGGATATTACACTTTAGTTTTAAATCAGGCATGTAATTATGATCTGTATCTATTTTCTCTAGACTGTTATTCAGTGAATTTAAATGATGATGCATTGAGTCAAGTAATGATACAGATGATTTCTCAAGGATTTTTTACTACTCCAGTCTCCATGAATGTAGTTACTGTAAATGGCAGATAATGAATATACAGCATGATATTAAAGTCCCATTTGCTGAACATATGTAGCGGCTTATTAAACATCTCTCTCCTTCTCTCTATAGTTTCCTTTCTTGCCATTCTTGTTTATTCATGAGCCAGACCAGTGCTGCCAGGGCACTTCATACCAACTGTCGCCTGACCCGTGTGACCTCACACTTGTACATACTGTGGCAGATTGCTTGAGAAAAATAAAGCTGTCAGTTGCGCCGGCCAAATGAAAAATGAACGTGTTGCGATACTAGCAGTGTCTAGATCACTGACAGCCCTGAAATATAGATATAAATTGGAAGCAGATTAATTTTTTTGATCCTAATTCAAGTTTTGACAAGGTATAAGACTGAAAAGAGAGAGATGTATACTACATATATGTGAATTTCCTGTTGTAAAATGTGCACTCTTATGATTTTAAATGTTGATATAGTGCTAGGTTATGCATTTACTTCTTTCTGAAAAGAAATAAACGTCTTCAGATGCCATCTTAACCAGGGCTGCATGTCAAAGCCTATTATATGTCATTCTGTGATACGAGGGGTAAGGTTGTGGGTTTTTATGTTAGATCTAGTTTACATTCCTGTGAGACTTCTGTGGATTTTTATTTTGTGGTACCTCCATACATGACTGTGTACTTTTTGGTCATGTATCATGTAATGCATAACTACTTGGGTCTCAAATATGACGGTTTGATATTTAACATTAGTTTTTGTTGTTTTTCCTCCATATTTCTTCATATCCATTCCAAATCTAATGCACAAACATATCTGTTTGACAGTATATATTATATATTAAATAGAAAAATGCAAAACAGAAATATTTTCACTAATGATCTCAGACTGTACCCCACACTATATTGATAGTAGAATGCATTGTCCTTTTTTGTCAGAACTGTGCCAGTTCCAGGCCCTCCAGTTCAGTGGGCAGTTCTCGGCCGGGCAGCTCTCCAGTACCAGGTGTTTTGGACAGGCAAACAGTCACCTACTCCAGCAGCTCATCGACCCACAGCGACAACATCTCCCAGAGTTACAACAAAACAAGTGAGTCGTTGGCTTATTTATTGATCAACCCCAAAAAACCGAAGCATCCTTATAAAGGTTGATTGGCCAGCTCAGATGATGTACTTGTATATTTAGGTTTATGCACATACGTGTGTGTATTTTCAAATGCCAATGTGTTTATATAAAGCAGAGCTTTAAAAATCTGTGCTAAATTATGCCGAGAGCAAAAGTAGTAATTGGCATAGAGGGTGAACTCTAAGATGACAGGCCTGTTCTGGGGTTGTAACGTTCTCCAGACACAGAAAAACGACGGGATCCAATCGCCTTCTCTGACCCCAGCATTTCAAGACTTAATCGTAGTAATCTCAAAGGGAGTTCACACAAGTGAGAGATTTCGCGAAGAGAGAAGGGAGCGAATGAAGGAAGTTATTTTGTGAAAAATATGTAAAATCATATTATTATTACACAGCTGGCCAACCTATAATGTATAGGCATTCTGTATTTAATTTAATAATTAAAATAAAAGTATTTAAATTTAATTAAATTAAATTAATAAAGTATTAAATGTACTACATATCGACTTTATTATATTGATACTCCATATTTAATTAAATAATAAATAAAATAAAAGTAATTAAAGGTTAATTTATAGGTTAATTTATACTCTGTATTTACAATATTGATACTCAAAATAAAATTAATTAAATTAATACTTTCATAAATGAATACTCCATATTTACTTTACTGTATTGATACTCCATATTTAGTTAACTAATTAAAATAGTTATTGAAATTAATACTTAATTTATACTCCCAATTTACTTTAGTATATTGGTACTCCATATTTATATTGGTATTATATATTATAAACATTATTATTTTTATTATTTTTTTAAGTAAATTTACATTCCATATTTACTTTAATACTCCATATTTTCTCCATTGATTAAATAATTAAAATGAATTTAAAATCATATTAAAATAAAAAGTGTACTTAAAAATTATTAATTTAATTTTGACACTCTATCATGTGTCCTTTTTTCCTAGCTTAGCTTTTCTCGGTCAGAAACCGTATGAAGCATGACATGGCCAATCAAAGAGCAGAATCAGACACATGCCCTAATTCATTTTGATTGGCAGCTGGTATTATCCAGCCCATTAATCAAGGTGAATTTGCTCTGAGAGGAATGAAATGGCAGTTTTAGTGGGCGTCGCACGCGCAGACCATATGCATATGCAGAAGGGGCCGTCCCGTGCATATAAGTGATGCAACTAATCATCTTGACGAGACTCGCCCGGACTCTCACCGTAATCAGTTGTGATGCGGGCCATGATTGAATATTTGTTTTTAATGCGGAGCAATTTTTTAAACCAGTCAGCCAGCCACACGACTAAGTGCTATGAAGAAACTTATGTATATTGTAACCAAAAGGAAGAGAGCCTCTCATACGCATATGAGCCCAACTGTTAAAGGTCTTGTGTCGTAACAAATAGGGCCGAGCCCACAATAAATGCTGCTGTATGTCCTGATTGTATATAACTGATTGTTGTGTCTCTTCAATTCAAGGTCAAGTAATTCTCGAGTGTGAGAAAAAGCGTTTACGTTCACTTTTGATCAATTCGTTTCTTTTCATCCTTTGAGGCAATGGTTTCAATCCGCCAATTACGAAAACAAGAACATGCTATAAGCAAAAGAAAAGCAGGAAAGGACAAGTGCTTATGGAAAAGAATGGAGTTTTGACAATTTAAATTCTGATGTCGTTTTCCTCTTTCACTACTTCATCTCTTTCATTATGTTACGGTGTATCATTAGTACATTCACCCATAAAACTGAAGGTCAAGGGGAACAGTACTATTTTGTATGCTTTCTTTCTCAAAAGGCTGCACTTCTCAAGGGTCAACTTGAAAAGGTTGATAAAAACAGAAAGTTCATTTCCACACTATGTCTACTTCTAAAACATTCTATAAGACATGCTGAAGGAAGTTGGGAGGCATAAAGTGACAAAATTTTAGGTCAGGTAGTAGACAAATAGGATAAGTGTTGGGTGATTCATTGTCACTTTTGAATGAATCAGATTAATCGATTAAAAAGATAATGTTACCATATTTTATTCCTGAAATGAAGCATTATTTTTCATTAAAATGTGCTGTTCTTATAAATGTTCGCTGAACTATGAATGTTTTGCAGAACTCAAAATGCTTGTCAATTTGATTTTACTGTTACTACATAAATATATAATAATTAGTGCTGTCAATCGATTAAAAAATAACTAATTAACCACAATTGTTTTCTGAAATTAATCGAGATTAATCGCGAATAATCCCACCTAATATGATATTTAAAAAAAAATACTTTTTTTTATGACTGAAGGCCAGTATCACAGGCTACAGTGCATGTGTACAGTGCATTTCCACGCTCGTTTGTCTCGCGCCTGGCGCTGAGGTGAAGTTGGAGCGAGCGTTTGAAATGTCTCAGGTTAGGTGTGGTCATAAAGACGTTCTGCGTTTAAATAAACAACGGTTCTTGTCAAAAAAATGAGACCGAAACAGCAGTTATGAGTGGGTTGGCCAACCCTAGCCCCTCCCCTGTGTTAATTGCGAAAAAAATTAATTGCCTGCGTTAACGCGTTAATTTTGACAGCACTAATAATATATGTAAATGAACATATTTGAAAAAACAAAACTAGACACAATTATATAAAACATTTAATAAAATAAAACGTCTAATAAAGACTTGCTGTTATAACCGTGTTTTGCAGAAATCAAAATACTCAGCAATTGTAATTATTTTAATTATTATTATTTTGGTATGCATTTTATATATATACAGTGGGGAAAAAAAGTATTTAGTCAGCCACCAATTGTGCAAGTTCTCCCACTTAAAAAGATGAGAGAGGCCTGTAATTTTCATCATAGGTATACCTCAACTATGAGAGACAAAATGAGAAAAAAAATCCAGAAAATCACATTGTAGGATTTTTAAAGAATTTATTTGCAAATTATGGTGGAAAATAAGTATTTGGTCAATAACAAAATTTCATCTCAATACTTTGTTATATACCCTTTGTTGGCAATGACAGAGGTCAAACGTTTTCTGTAAGTCTTCACAAGGTTTTCACACACTGTTGCTGGTATTTTGGCCCATTCCTCCATGCAGATCTCCTCTAGAGCAGTAATGTTTTGGGGCTGTCGCTGGGCAACACGGATTTTCAACTCCCTCCAAAGATTTTCTATGGGGTTGAGATCTGGAGACTGGCTAGGCCACTCCAGGACCTTGAAATGCTTCTTACGAAGCCACTCCTTCGTTGCCCGGGCGGTGTGTTTGGGATCATTGTCATGCTGAAAGACCCTGCCACGTTTCATCTTCAATGGCCTTGCTGGGCATGTAATCTCACGATACATGGCCCCATTCATTCTTTCGTTTACACGGATCAGTCGTCCTGGTCCCTGTGCAGAAAAACAGCCCCAAAGCATGATGTTTCCACCCCCATGCTGCACAGTAGGTATGGTGTTCTTTGGATGCAACTCAGCATTCCTTCTCCTCCAAACTGCATATTAAAGTAACTTTTCTCATAAAAGCTTTGTGCTATTACAATGTTTGGCAGAAATCAATACATTCACATATATATATTGATGTAAATAATATATAAATTACAATTTAAGAATTTTTATTTTTTTAACAATTCTTAAAGTGTGTGTGCGCACCAAAAGCAAATAAAATTATTTGTGCGAGTAGATTACCATAAAAGTTCATGCATAGAGACGCATAGATGCAAATTCGGGCGACAAATTGGGTAATGCGTTTGCTACGGACACGCGATATATGCCTCAATCGCGTCTTCTGCGCAAGTTGAAAAATTTCAACTCGAGCGGAAAATTTGCATGACACGTTGTCACACAAGCCAATCAACGAAGAGTTTATTGACACATCTTTTTTGACATGTCCAGGTTTTATCAGAAAATGGAGGAGAGCATTACGCAATGATTTTATTCGCGTGAGTGATACGAAAAACACCCCGCGAGTAATCTAGAGCGATAATGTGATGAGAATATTCGCTTCGCGTTTGGTGTGCGCAAACAATCACAATCAATTTGATCAATTCTTTGTTTCAGGCCAAATGACACCAGAGATTGTGATTTTGCTTCAAATGAAACTTTTAGATGACTTAAGTGATTAGTCAGCATATGGTTGTGTCCGTAATTTGTTGTTGCATTCCTACATTTTCAGCATTGCAGACGTAAGTTTACGTTTAGTTTCACTACTAATTGTAACGATTCGTTTATGTTGGATGTCACAACAAATGATTGCATATCAACCTCTTTGGAAATGCAATAATTTGTTATTGCATACCAACATGCAACGTAACGCAGCAGCATGTAATTCTGCCAGTGTTACAAGTGGATCTTTAGCAAAGTTGAATCCATCTGTTGTCATCCCCACCTCCCTCACCGACACACACTCTCAAAAAGATTGACAACACCTGACCTTGAAAACTGAGTAGTTTGACATTTTATATAAGATGTTTGTTGTCCCAAATGAAGACCGTGTCATTTGATTGAACAAGCTGAATACACAACTACATATTGTTCGTATAAATACCTAAATAAACAGATTACAAAAAATATGGTAGTGGTTAGATAGCTGTTTACATTCCTCTCTCTGAGGAAATAAAAAAAAATCCTCTTCTCATTTCCCTCATTTTTAACCCTTTAATGCCACCGATAAACTACTTATGATTGTGTGTGAATGATATTACTGATTTACTTTAAATCTGCTTTAAAACAAATCTGTTCATAATTCAACCCGGTGTGTGAGTGTCTTTGTGTATCTGTGTGTGTGTGTTGGGTGATGGATGTCAGCGATAACAAATTGTAAGGAAAAGTTGAATTTGTATCTGCTTAGGATCCTGGCTGCCTTATACATATGGCTCCAGGTTTCGTGGTAATAGGATCTTTGATGGATGGCAGCCCTCCTCGGTCTCCCATTTTTTAGAAGATATTTATTTATTAATCTGTCTCTTTATTCAGTCAGATCATCC